TTTCTAGGCTGGGCACAGGCTGCTCACATGGTCTGTGGGAACGCAGGATGCTAGCAGAGGTGCTGCGGGTGGCTGGCTGCACCGCTGGTAGTCAGAGTGCTCACTTCAAAGGAAGACACACACTCGTCCTCCCTGACAGGACACACCAGCTCTGCTCTGCCTTCTCCTGTGCCCGATAAAGTCTTTGTGAATTCCCAGCGGTGGTGTTGGAGAAGGCTTCCTCATCCATGTGATGAGGAACGCTGGTGCAGTGCGGCAGAAGGCAGGTGGGATCTGCCAGACAGCCTCACCGGCAGACCAGTGTGCTGAAGCATGGGACCCCTCTGCTGAACTCAGGTTCAGGCTTGAGAGAGGGACAGGAGAATCCTGTCTGCCCTGGCTAACCTTGGGGACACTAGGACAGAAAGTGTCCCCATTCACTATCCTCACACATTGCCTCAGGTCTGTACAAGTGCTGGAAACAGCTGAACCGAGAAGTGATGAGGATGTTAAAAATGAAAAGTGGAAGTAACTTGAATGCTAAACAAGTTCTCAACAAATGAGCACTACCCTGTGACTGCAAAATTGCCCTGATCCAACAGAGGGAGACGCAAAACCATCTTCCCAAAAGCCACTGAATGATGCTGGAGAAAAAAAAAAAAGACTTATTGCCTGGCACTTGATTAATTCATGTCCCACAGATAGATGTCTCCTGCCCTGTGGGCTGGTTCCTGTCTCACCATCACAAGGCCTGATGCTGAAGGCACCAAATCTCACCCTATCGCCTGACTTTCAAGTTGATGCCCTTCCCCTGCAGCAGTCAGGGTCCAAACTGCAAGACTCTTCCCAATTCGGCAATGCGATGCAGCTGAGCACCACTGCAACTTGCTGGCTTTTTTATGCCCAGGGGCTGAAAGCTCCCAGTCCTGCCACGGTGCCCACAGTGCCAATGGCAGCCAGAGACGGTTGCGTCTGGAGGCAGATGCTGGGCCCGCCCTGCACAGCCATGTGCACAGGGACACACTGATTTGCTGCCAGGCCGTAGGTGCTCTTGTGGAGAAAGCCACCATTGCGAGGAAAAAAGATGAGTAGCTAGTCAACGGGAGAGAGCCAGCCTGGCAGTATCCCTTGTGCTGCTGCTCTTGTCCACAGTAAACGCAACGAATCACAAGCCAAGGCTGGACAGGCATGGTCAGAGCTGGGCTGGGGGCTCCAAGATGCCCCAGAGCCAGGGCCATGGTCGTGGGAACAACAGACCTGCCCTGTTGCTGTGGGCCCTGTCCCAGGGCTGCACCACCCTCTGGGGCAGAGTTTTTCCTTTGCATGTGATGGGAACGTCCATCACGGCATCTTGCACCTGCGGCCTCTTGTTCCTTTCCCTGTGCACCTCTTTGATGGGTCTGCCTGTGTCTTCTCTGCCACCCTGTCAGTCTGAAGAACAGCGGGGGTCCTCTGCAGGGGAACTGCAATTCTATCAGGCTGCCAGTGGTTGAAGGGCAGAGCTGGCAGCAGCAGCAACTCCTCCCTGACACCGACTGGGGAAGCTGTGCTGGGTTCTTGGCCTTGCCTTGTCCTACCCTCAAAAAATGCTGCATCAAGGTTATAAAGGTGCTCTCACAAGGTGTCACCCGGCCAGCAACTGTGGCACCACCCTTTTGTCTGGAGGGGTGGCAGGAACCTCCTGCCTGTGTGTACCTGCTGTCCATGTCACAGCTGTGCAGGTGGCGTTGCTCAAGTCCTCTGCTACCCTCAGCACCCACCACGGGCATTAAATGAACTTTTATTTAAATCCAAGAGCTGTAAGCTTCCCTTTCCACCAGAGAATCCCTCGCAGGCTGGTACACAGACCCGCTGGAGGTAATGTTCTGTGGGGACTGCAGGGCAGCCTGGCAGGGAAGGGGGATCTGGAGAGGAGCAGGCGACAGGCACTAAAAGCAGCAGCTCGTGGTGGTGCCAGGAAAGCGGGTGGTTGATGAAGATGGACATGCACCCAATGCACGGGGTGTCGATGGCATTTCACTGCCTAGTAGTGGTGGTTCCTCCTGAAGACTCACCCTTGGCACAGCTGGCTATGAGCCACCAGCCTGGGCTCTGTTCCACAGGCATCACCTTTGAACCTGGGACAAAGAAATATACTGGCTTTTTAACCTGAGCATGCACAAATCATCCTCATATCACATGGACTTTTACAGACCTCAGAGAAGAAGTGTTCCTGACCTTGTTAGAAGGAGTAAAGCACTTCACCGCTGGGCCACGTCTCCCACACGCTCAAAACTCTGCCTTGCACGCTGTGATGGCACTGAGAGATGCTTCTCTGTCCTGGTAGCATATTCTTGTTTCCTCTGTATGTTAAGCTGAAAAATAAAGTTCAAAAGAAAGTAGCAGTATTTCTGTAAGTGATCCAGGCACCGAGTTGGTTCCCCCTGCCCGATATTAAATCTAAAGGATCTGCCTGGCTTTACTTACCATACTGCAACAGTCAGGGCATTTGAGGATATTTTCAGGTTTTCCATTCTGAAATATTCTTGACACTGGATTTTGCTGTACAAAGTCTGTGTTCACCCAGCATCCTGAACAGCGTAGACTTCTGATTGCAGGGGCAAGGCAGTTGAGAGAGCAGGAAGTTAGAAAAGCAAAATGTGAAGCTTTTTAAACAAAACCACAAAACATTTCCAGAACTACTAAGGAGCAGCGTAAAACTAATCTTTAAATGGCTGCTTTTACATTTTCTTGCTACTGAAGTTTTGAGTCTGCATGTAGGCATGTCATGTTACAAGTACAGACACAACCATCATGACACCATCATCAATATTTGGCAGAGAAAAATACCAGAAAAAAAGACAAATTATTGTTTTGCAGTTATCTTTGCAAGCTGAGTTTTAAGGAGTGCTAGAAAACTAGCAAACGTTTTTCGTTTCCATAAGCAAACTTTTATGTTTAGGTGAGAAGAGGATTTAAATAAAAACCCAGTGGCTGGAGAAAAAGATATTGGTGTATATTATTTTAATAACATATACTGAAATACAAAAAAAATATAGACAGAACTCTGCTTACATGGTAGTGGCACAACTGAACTGGAAATAAACCCCAGTGTGTCCTCCTAAACACCACCATTGGTCACAAAACAAAATCTAAAGACTGTAGCAGAAATTTACATTACAAGTTGTCATGACAAGAAACTCTGGCCTAGAAACATCTCATTTGTAATATCTGATCACATAAATATTTAAAGTGTATTAACCAGCTGAACATAAACATCATGTCAACAATGAGTTATACCTTAGTGTATCCAGCATCAAGTAAAGAATGAAATGCAAAAAGTTAAAGAATTATTTAATGCAGATTTGTCAGCTGTAAATTAGTTCTTAGATGTAATTCAGCACTAGCACCTACTAGCATGATTTCTGGCCTGATACACTATGATATTTCAAATGCACAGGCTTTCAGTAAAATTCCTTTTTTTGGCCTATAAAACAGAGTTGTGAATATGCTATAGAAACCAAAACCCTATCCAAAAAGATCCTTAAAAGTGGATAATAAATGTTTTCAAAAAATGGCAGTGAAATAGCACTGGAAACGTTACGGATTTGGTACGAAAAATCAGGGATATACACCAAAAATGAACTCACTGCTTCCCTTTTTTCTGCGGTAATAAACTCCTGGGTACCAATAAACAATAAATAAAGGCGTAAAGTAGCCTCATTGCACCGTTGTTAGAATGACATAAACCATATAAGACGTCAGTACAAAGTGCTGGCTCCCAAAGAACACTGCTGCAATAAAGGCAGTTTTATTAATGTTTACAGAGTTACTTAGTACTCACTGGAGTCCGCTCTCACATCCCAGAACCGATGTGAAACATTGTGCTTCGACAGCAACCCTTTTGTGGCATCTTGCCTCATCCCCGCAGTGCGGTGACTGGCCAGCAAACCAGCTACAGCAATTTAATTCAGAGACAGGGGTTACGATTCCCTTGGTGCTACATTTTACATTCCCAAAAGATCAGGTAAAAAAAAAAATAAATTAAACAATTCTTGTACCTTTACTACAAGCCCGTATTTCAAATGTCAAGCCCATTCAATTTAAGAAGAATTACAGATTTTTGACATCTGTCTTCATTAGTTTTGAGACAGATGAGGTACGTTGCTTTGGCAACAGCTGCCATGCTTTAAACACACTTTGTACAGAGCATTAGCTGGATGCTAAATGCAATGCCTTGTTCTAACAGTGAGAAAAACAGAAGAGTCTCAAAAATGCCGTTTTCTTGCTAGGTGTAATGTTTTTAAAGACAAATCATGTTTTGAAGGATAAATGCCTGCCTATTTCCTAAACCCATTATTGGTACAAATCTGTTTTCTACTGATTTGCCACCTCTCTTGGCTCTTCAAACAAAAACTCTGCCTTTGTTTAAGAAGCATCTCTCAATCTGGGTAAAAGTAGAGGCTTTGATCAGGAACCTCTGCAAGTCTGTGTTTTTAGAAAGTGCTGCTGAAACATGAAACAAAACCACTGGCGTCCGCAAATGGGGTGGCATCCCCCTCTAACCATGGAGTGTTCTGCATGTGACACAGACTGCAGGGAGCCTCAGGGGACTTTCATATATCTGCTGTGCCCCAGGGAAGCGTTTGCATGAATCAAAATCCATTATTTGGACTGAAGACAGTATTTTTAAATTAATCTAAAATTAATCTACCAGAGTAATTCTTATTGTGTAATCGCTTTCAGTATTCCTCGGAGAACTCTGTAACTCATTAATTGTTGGCTTTCTTTGAGAGGAAAGCAGGGTCCACGCTCTGTCACGTATGCGTAAGGAAATCTGAGCACCCAGAGTCCATCAGATGGAAGAGTAATTTCTTGCTTCTCAGGGTAAAATACAGGACAAAGAATTCCATTTGGAAGCACGCTCTGGAGTAATGCTGGTGCAGCACGTCATTTTCTCTTGATAAAAATTAAATCAGGCCCTCTACCTCTCATGAGTTGTACTGTAGAGGGGCCTGGAACAGTTCTTGTTTTAGTGACTTTCATAGCCTTTCCACCTGCTGCTGCTGCTTTGGGTCAGCCTGGTAAGGCTGCTCGGGGCTGTCACCTTGGTGCTGCTGTTTCTGCTCCTGCTTTTTCTTTTCAGCCAGTGCATTTGCCACGGTAGCCCTTGGCCTAGGATCAGGTCTCTCTTCATCCTGCTGGTGCTTTGTACAATGCTTTTCAAAGGCAGAAATTTCGGTGTATGTCTGGCTGCAACCTAAGCAGAGGTATGGCTGCTCCCCACTGTGTGTTCTCATGTGAAGCTGAAGGTAAGAGGACTCGGAAAAGGCTTGGCTGCAGATCGAGCAGTGGTGAGGCTCGCGTGCCTCATGGGTCTTCAGGTGCCGCTTGAGGGATGACGCCTGCTTGATGGCCTTCCCACAGGTGGAGCACTCGAAATTCCTCTTGCCCCACTCGAGAAGCTGCTGCAACACCAGGTGGGCAGAGGAGCAGAAGTTCTTCCCACTCTTGAAACACTCGTAGGGTTGTTCCCCGGTGCGCAGGCACGCATGGAGGATCAGCCCAGCCTTCTGGGCAAGGGCCTTCTCGCACTGGCAGCACCTGAAGGACCTCTGACCCGTGTGCAGGCAGCGGTGGGCAGCGAGGTGCACCCGAAGAGGTTGCTGCAGTCCTTGCACTTGAAGGGCCTCCTGCCAGCGCAGATGGCCTCGTGCCGCACCAGCTGGAAAGACTGGAGGAAGAGCTTCCAGCAGACCGGGCACTGGGACTTGCGCTTGTCCGTGTGGGAGCGGAGGTGGAGGGCACGGTGCGACAAGGAGAGGAAGGCCTTGCCGCAGAGCAGGCAGGCGTGGGGCTGCTCCCTGGTGTGTGTACACTTGTGGAGGACCAGCCCGGAGGACAGGGTGAAGGCCTTGGTGCAGCCCGGGAACCTGGTGGTGCTGGCTCAGGGCGTTGGTGTGCGCAAAGGCCCTCCTGCACTCCTCGCACACCCAGTGCCGGACCCGGCCCTACCACCCGCCCCGCTGGCACCACGGCTGCCCTGCTGCCACCATGGTTGCTGCCCCGCCGGTGCAGGGTGACAGCGTCTGGAAGCAAGGAGGATGATGGCAGCGGGCAGGTGGCGGTTGAGGTGAGGAGGCCCCACGGGCAGATCAGGCCCCGGGGCCAAGTCAGGCTGGGCAGGTGAGCCATACCTCCAGAGAGCATTTTGGTTTGGGTACAGTACTGAAAACATAGGAAATTCAGGAAGCTTCAGGCTGCGAGGATATGCAGAGCTGCTTTAACTGCAAATTCACTGTAATGAAATTTTGCGAAAAAAGGCATTTTAGGCATTAAACTGTAAAAAACACTCTGTGCTCTGTACTGCAGATACACTTTTTTTTCAACACTCAGCAAGTCAGATTTTTCAAGAGCTGTTTTGAAATGTTTAATGTGCTTTTTGTTTTAAGATTTACTTTACAAGGCAACTTGTTTCACTGTCATCAATAATCTCAATACAAAAATCTTACAACGCTTTATTTGCTAAAAAACTATGACATTAAAATTGGGGTTAGGTAGTTCTTTCCTTTTGCCAGCTGCTTTGTTACGAGGAGTCCACTGCTAGACGTTGCTGTACTTAATAAGTTACATGAGTTCTGTACATAATTACAGTCAGAATAAGCAGTTGTATAATACACCACAGTCAAACACCATAAGGGCAAAGAACTATTATATATGAAAGCTTTTTGTGGAAGATTTCATACTTTTGTTTGACCAAAAGTCAGTCTGATATCCTCATATCAGGAGACTGACATCAATCTTTCTTAGGCACTGACCCAGGCAGAATTGCCTTGCAGAAAAACCCGTCTGTTTTGCCAAACTCATACATTATTAAAATTCTTTTATGTAGCTAAGTCTTTAACAACTCTACAAAAATAATTATTTGCTAGTCTTGTGCCTACCTTCAAATACACGAAGTATTTGAATAACTTCACATTCTCTTTCTGAATTAGGTTCACTGCAGTATTAGATCAGGCAGAAACTTCAAGACCCTACTTGGTCAAGTGTGATTCAACTAACTGGATACTTTAGCTTGAACAAAAAGTCTGTCTAAACATAACTCTAAAAAAAAAAAAGTTTATACCATAGCAGATCAAGCTAACTAACACTGAATATCTTTTCACAGCGGGAAAAAAAAAGCACTATTGTAAATTTTAGGCACAGGATATTCAGGGAAAACATACTGTAAGACCACGCTTTGTAAACATCTTTATGAATCATTCAGAGACTACTGGCTTTGGAATAAATCTTCAAATACTTGGCGTTATGCAGGATAGTAATTAACAGCTAATGCTATGAAAACAAGCAACTTCAACATTACAACAGCAAGAGCAGTGACGGCTCCTGCAGTGAATTAATCAAATTAAAAAGGGATATTAATTTATATTTTATTATAAAGTTTATAGCATTACAGAGTCCAGCATGGCACGGTAGGTCACCTTGTTACAGTTGCAGTATTTGTTTGGTACAAAAAAGCTGAACAGCAGCATAATTGTTGTTATACTGAATCCAGGATTGGAATTAATGTCTTTCTTCTGAATAGGGATGACTCAAATAAAGAGGCTGCATTTTCAAATCTCAAGTATGTGCAAAATTCCTTTCAGTACAGTAGAGAATATGGCAGAGATGTGTGCAATCTTGAAAGTTACATCCCAACCCAGATACTGCCAATGTATTGCAAACAATCACATGGAAGGTGAACTCTGACCAGTTACTTACGACTTTCAGTATGATTTGCAAGAGTCCTCCTCACAGCTGGTGTTCTCTCCCCACCCTGCTTTATGTCCTTTTATGCAGTGTATCAAGTACTGACATTCATAATTATTGTAAAAAAAAAATTGGTCCATGACAGTTCTCATAAGCTTCCTTCGGGAATTCCAGTAAACTCTCCATCCTAAGACAGTTGAAACTGTTACAACAGATTTATGAAAGCAAATGCAATCTGAGAGATGAAGGTCTGTGAAGATTACTATCTCCACTTTCCTAATGTCTTCAACAGCATTTAAAAAGACAGAAAAAATGGATTCCAATGTTATTATTTGGATTTCGCCTTAATGTGATTTTCTGCTTTCACATGTTGTAGGCAACATAAATAGGATCCAGCTGGTCAGCTAAAAATCCGTCTCTCAAGTGCATTCGTTGTTTCTCACCACGGGAATTGATGGGAATAACACCGGGGTCCACAATGACTACAACACCCACTATGAGATAATGCTCTTCCAGAACCACATTTGTTACCAGCGCAACCAGGTCCAATGCTTCTTGCTCCAAGCCTTCCAGCTCCACAACCACCACCAGCAAGTTGGTCCATGTAAACACAGCACTGTCAGCATGATACAAATGTTAGTGGTGAGAAAAAAATACATAGTCAAAGGAAGATAGTTATCAAAGACAGACTCACTGCAAACAAATTTCGTAAGGACTTGAATGATATAATAAATGAGAACAAGTGATATAAGCGTAATGTGAAAATAGTCATAAATCAAGAGACATTAAAGCTGTAACTTGTTGGGATACTCTTTGCCACTTGTTTTCTAATTGTCTATGTACAAAATAGGTAGGTCTTCTTCTCTTACACGTATACAGTCATGTATTTACAAGTCCTTTGCACTTCTGTATTAAAATGGGAACCATGAAGATTTCTGATTTAGTGTGTGCATACTTGATATTAACCATTATTAAAGGGAAGACAAAACCTCCCAAAGCTTACAAGTAAATGCTACCACTTTGAAAATGAAGAGCACCTACAGCCAAACAGCATACATTATCCATTGGGACCAAATGAGAGTAGTATTGGTTAGAAGGTATCATCCAAGAAATCCTTGAGATGTGTTTACCACTTCCAAGTGTGTACATTCTGACACAGCCAGGGAAGTCAACAACACAACTCACAAATGTTTTGCTGCACTGTTCACACCCTGCCCTCCCTGTCTTTCAGACTATGAAGATCAAACTCTGATAAAGGTATAGGCTTTTTCAATTTTTGTTTGAGCAGCAGAGTCAGGGGAAAGAGCAGCATTATATTTCAGTTACTGCAGTAGTTTCTAAGCAAAGTTTTGGTGAGTTCACTCTACAACAAGCTCTTAGTCTAGCATGCTGCTCCGCAGCTTAACTTCTGCTGCTTTAGAAGAATTAAAAGTAATACTGAGGGTCTTACCATTCTGCAATGCTCTTATGTGCTCTTATTACAGAGGTCTCTATATCAATGGGATGGTACCTCATTCCTCTGAGCTCCAGTGTTTCATCCAAAGAACCTACCACATACAGGGCGTCATGCCTCTCTGCAATATAGCACAGACATTTAAAACATCATCAGATCTACAGAAAAAACATGGTCATTTGTATGTGCTCACTCCTGATCTTCTAAGATGCTCTCAGTGCTTCCTAGGAGAAAGAGTCTATAACACACATCAAGCTGTACCATTTGGAGACTAGAGAATTAAGAGGTCATGTAGCACTTCTGCCTATTGACTCCAAGCAAATGCAACCAGACTAAGAAGAATTCCTGGGTCATCCAATTCTGTCCCTTCTCTCATGTAATGTAATCTCAGTTCATAAACTAAATCAAAATTATTTTTTAAGCATATCTTTTCCCCACTATTCTTACCAGAGAACTCCGATCAATAGGAACACTTGGCCAGTTTCCAAATGTATTTTTTTTCTTTTTAAAACCAGCTTATACCTACTTGTCCTCATGCTAGCAATATTATTCTCAGCTTCTTTAGTTCCCCACAGCTAATGCAGCAAGAACAACTCTACCACCTCCCCAGTCTCAGCTTTGCTAGGTTAAATAAGCAAAGCTCTCCCAGACCCTTCTTGGAGGACATGCCCTCCACATTGCCACATTCATCCAGCAACTCTGTTAGTTGAACTTAGCTTTTTTGTGTGCTTCTTTTATAATCTTCCTCAATCATGTAACTTGGAGGATGAAAAGCATGCTGGGAAGCTGCTCTGTATTATTTCATGCATACTTGCTACACTAATTTACCATACATAGCCTCCCAAATGCTGACAAACTAAAAGACAACTGACATTGGTCCACAGTGATTAAAATCTCTATGATACATAATTTTTCAGAAAGCTACAAGGCACAAAATCTTGCTGTAGTAACCTAGTGCCTTGCCACCTGCAACTCCTCTTTCTTTGTGAATGTCTGCTCACAGATTCCAATTTCTGTCAACTACCAGCTTTCTCAAGAACAGGGAACCCGTTTCACTTTGAGATGACAGAAGGACAATTCCATCAAAGCATCCTGTGCAGAACCTTCCGCGGAGCAGCAGTGTGCCCTGAAGGTCAGGTAGCTACCCTAGAAAATCAGAGAGGAGGAAAGCAAGAAAAGCGTCAAGCACCTTGGCTGACTGTTCTTTTACCAGTTCTGCTTTAGACAAGCTCTGAACAGGAAGATGACACGAAGTAAAACATTTTTCAGGGAGCTGGACCTACGTTACATCAGCTACCACCTGACACCACATCCCTTCAGGGGCAGAGACTCAGGAGCAGCTGGCCAGGACAGCTGCTCAGTGTACTACGCAGGTTGAATGGGTGGAGAGGCCTGGTGCCAAGAAGGGAAAGACCCTTTTGATGGTGGTAGTTCTGGGCTAAGGATACCACACATCTCTCATAAAGACTTTCTTTACTAGAATTCACCTTTTGCTCTCTGATGCACTCTGGCTGTGGAAGAGGGAAGCCTGCATGACACTACTCATGGAATTGAGCAGGCTGCAAGGATTTCTCCAGCTGGAGAAATAGCATTCAGCTTTCTTGTTCTCAGGAACCCCAGGTCGACTGAATAGCGTACCAGCACAGCAGACTGGAGGATGACCCTCTCTTAGCAACTAGATCCAACAGAGTTACATCGCAGACCATTTCTGAATCTTGGACTGGTATCCACTCCAACAGATGGGATAGCTCCTCAACAGAAGTCTGTACCTTCAGCACCTTGCTCTCCTTATTCACTCTTCTTCTTTCACATACTGGAGGACTAAAAGTAGGATGGACATGCACGGTGTGACCC